AACCCTGCTCAGGCTTCTGAGTTTGAGAAAGGTCTTCTATAGCCCAAGCTGTCCAGGGCTCACTGTGTAGCCAGAAATGACTCTGTACTCCTTACCCTCCTCTCTCCACCTCCCAACTGCTAGGATTCACAGGCCATGAGAAGGGGAGAGCTGATCTTGTGCAAGTGTCTAAATTGCCCTAGGATGCCATTGTTTGTTAAATACCGTCTCCATGTATGAGTAAAAAGAAATAGTTTATCCTAGGTAGGTGCTGAGCCTGAAGATCACAGAAATTAAGTACTTTTGTCCTGGGATACACAACTCATCACTGGCAGACTTGGTTGAAATCTAAGTTTTTGTACACTGATCTCAGCCTTACCTATTTCAGCTCATCACACTGCCCCTGACTGAGAACTGTGCATTTTCTCCAAGGTAGGTCAGGAAGCTGACACCTAGAGACACTGGTTTACCAAGGCCATACAGCTAGTCTGCCCCCTTCTAGTGCTTGTTTGCTTTTCTATCAACTAATGCTCCCAAGGGTGTCCAGACGAAGTCTGCCGTTGCAGCAGCACACATCCTGTTATTAATACCGTTGGTGGAGCAGTCCGTGAAGAAAGGGCTTTGCCTTATCTCTGCCTCGTTTCCTCTCTCTCTTCCATCTACCACCAGTTCATTCAGCCAGGTAGTCTCAGAGTCAGAGGAGGCCTACCCCGGCCTGGCTCTGCGTATCCCAGGGGAAGCTTTTTAGTGAACAGTAGTGTTGGGTATCAGGCAGATGAGCGTTCCAGGCCAAGGGCTCGTAGGTACGGAGTGCAGAGGAGAGAGCATACTGTCCTTGGGAAAGGCAGGTGAAGACTTTCTGAAAGATGAACATCTGGCTTTCCTTGTCTTCCACCTGATGTTCTATATCTTCTAGTGCTTAGTAATTATTTATTCCACATATTGTCTATTGTCCCCATCCAGCTAACTGTAAGCTTCTTGAAGGCAAGGGTCTGTGTCTGTTTCCCTACATTTAGAATGGTCACAGGCAAATACACGGGAGACCATCAGTCAGCCTCTGCTGCATTGCTGAATCTGTGTCAGACTCGAATTAGCTACCCGAGTGGTCCTGAATCCATATAACCAGGGAGGAACAACACGGAATGTTAAGGAGAAGGTTCTCCATAGAAGCTGTTCTGGCGGAGGAAGTTCTGGGTCCACAGCTACAGGAAGCGCTGCCAAACTTCCTCTCTGTCCAGGAGGGAAGGATGGATTGGACAGTGTGTGCTCCCGCACCCTAACCCCGGCTCCTCCTCCTCCTGTCGCTCCCCAGCTGTCCATGCTCTTCACAGAGGAGTGTGACAAGGTCCGTGATCTGATGCATGTGCACTCCTTCAGCTATGACTTCCACCTGCGCCTCGTGCACCAGCATGTGCTCGGTGCCCACCTGGTGCTGCGCCATGGCTACCACCTCACCACCTTCCTGCAGCATTTCCTGGCCCACCACCCTGATGGACCCCACTTCGGCCGCAATCATATTTACCAAGGTCAGTGCCCAAGGGCAAGCCAGTGAGGCAAAAATTGGGCAACCACATGACCAGGCCTAGCGTGGTAAGACCATGAATTGCTCATTTTCCTTGTACCATGTCCATTCTTTCGGCCTTTGTCCTTTAAGTTTTTCACAGCTGGTTTCATCCCAGAATGAAGGCCCTGTGTCCGGTGTTACCCTGCCCTTTGTTCTGGGCATTTTATTCCATCTCAACAACATTCCACAGGACCTTGGGAGCTCCCTAAGGAAGAAAAACCTTAGTATTCCCATCCTCTGCCCTCCTCTCTCGCCAGCCCAGCTTGCTTATCCCAAACTTGGTGTCTGTTTTTCCTGTAACTTGCCTCATAGGGACATTGGAGCTCCCCACCCCACTCATTGCTGCCCACCAGCTGTACAACTATGTGGCCGACCATGCCAGCTCTTACCACATGAAGCCATTGCGAATGGCCCGGCCCGGTGGCCCAGAACATAACGAATATGCCCTGGTGTCAGCATGGCACAGGTAAAGCTAGGAGGCAGCTTCCAGCACACACCTGGTAGGGTTGAGGTTGGGGCCACACAGTTGGAGTAGGAAGATATGTTTTCTTGGGTACAAGGGTTGGGACTGGTTTCATTAGAGCCTCGGAATTGACATCTCCCCGCCCCAACTACGCAGCTCTGGCTCCTATCTGGACTCTGAGGGACTTCGCCATCAGGATGACTTTGATGTGTCTCTGCTTGTCTGTCACTCTGCTGCACCCTTTGAGGAGCAAGGAGAAGCTGAGCGACATGTTCTGAGGTCAGATCTCTTACCTCGAGTGTACCCATTTCTTAGATTGCCGTCTGCTCCTATCCAGAAGTCCGTGGCTGTGACGCTTTCCCACTCTCCTGCCCCTTCCCTTCCCTAGGCTTCAGTTCTTCGTGGTGCTTACCAGCCAACGAGAACTCTTCCCAAGACTCACTGCTGACATGCGCAGATTCCGGAAACCATCCAGGCTTCCCCCTGAGCCAGAGGCTCCTGGGAGCTTGGTTGGTAGCCCTGGGGAGGCATCAGGGATTATGCTGACCCCAGGGCCAGCTCCTCTGTTCCCACCACTGGCCACAGAAGTGGGTATGGCCCGGGCACGTCTGGCTCAGCTGGTTAGGTTGGCTGGTGGGCATTGCCGGCGGGATACCCTCTGGAAGCGCCTCTTCTTGCTGGAGCCACCAGGGCCTGACCGGCTAAGACTAGGGGGGCGCCTGGCCCTGGCAGAGCTGGAGGAGCTCCTGGAGGCAGTCCACGCCAAGTCCATTGCGGACATTGACCCCCAGCTGGTAAGAGACCTGACTCCACAAGGGCCAGCATCACTTTCAGCATTCCATAGGTGACTCAGTGGGAGGGAAGGAATCTTGGGTGACTCTGGAGTGGTAGGCTCAGGGCTGTGACCCTCCCCAGGACTGCTTCCTGTCCATGACGGTCTCCTGGTACCAGAGCCTCATCAAGGTTCTCCTGAGTCGATTCCCCCAAAGCTGCCGCCATTTTCAGAGCCCGGACATGGGAACCCAGTACCTGGTGAGTCTTATTGTCCTCACTCTACAGAGAAAAGCCGTAGAAATCCTCATCTGACATTACAGAACCATTCAGGGAGCCCAGGCTTAGCAAACAAGCTGTGCCTTGTGTTGTTGTCTTGCTGGAGTTGAACCACACTGATAGCCTTTAAAACCTCTGAGCAGTGGGTAGTGAGCCTGAGTGCATAATTGCTGGGAAGTGACATGTTTTGGCTTGAGATCCCAGACAAGGCTCGGGGTTGATGCCCACACCAAGTGTGGCACTCAGCCCACTGAAACACAGGTGCTCACCCTCCACCACTGTCTCGGGATCTGCGTCTCAGCAATATCCCCAGAAGGTCTGTGCATGCTGGTGTGAAGGCACAGCTGTGAAGGACAGAAGCGAGAAAGTGACAGTGATGAGTGTGTGCCTGGGAAACTAAAGAGAAGATGGCACAGCTGTGATTAGGGAGACCGCGAGTGAGAGGAGGAGGAGTGAGCCTGGAGCAAGATTTGTCTCGGGTACACCACAGGTCATCCAGAGAAGCCAAGGCTAAGGGGCGTTTGGGGTACCAGTGATGGGAGCGCTGAAGCTGGAGTGGGACAGAGGAAGGGTGAGGAGTTCTTGGGGCAAGTTGAGTCTGTCATCCAGGAGGTGTGTGGACATGTGGGGTCAAGAGAGAGATAGAGGCTGCAGCCACATTAGCAGATGCTGCAGAAGCCCCAAGGAGAAATCACCCAGTGGTAGATCCAGAGCTGAGCGCTAGGAGCAGCCAACGTCAGAGGCAGGAGGAGACCTGCTGGAGGGTTGTGCCAGGTGTCTAGAACTGCCCGTCCCTGATTGGCTTCCCTGCTATGTCCTCTAGAAGATTCTGACAGGGCTCTGACAGTCAGGGTTGAGGCCCAATGTGGCAATACCATCCTGAGTGACCCAGGCTCGCAGATAGGCTCAGACGTGTGACAAAAGGGGCCTCACCCCCCTGCCTCTGCAGAGGGTTCACACCCACAGGTGAGACAAGCCTCGCTCCCTCTTCTTTTTTATCTGTTGCTTCAGGTTGTGCTGAATCAGAAGTTCACCGACTGTTTTGTGTTAGTGTTTCTGGACTCACACTTGGGAAAGACGGTGAGAACAAAGGGCAAGGGGCTTCACGGAAGCTGTACCCCAAGTACTCGAGTCAGCCCTCTAAGAGCAGGCTGCCCTCCTTCTGCAGCCAGCTCTCTGTCCTCCCCATGCGCCCTCTCACCACTGAGCCTCTGTCTTGTTCCCCACAGTCTCTGACGGTGGTTTTCCGAGAACCCTTCCCAGTGCAGCCCCAGGACAGTGAGAGCCCCCCAGCCCAGCTGGTCTCTACCTATCACCACTTGGAATCTGTCATCAACACAGCCTGTTTCACCCTCTGGACCCGCCTCCTCTGAGAAAGTGGACTACTGACTTCATTGGTTGAACTGTGGATCTATAAGCGTGCTGTTTGAGGCACGACAGACTGGCGTTTATGAGCCCCGAGTCCTCAGATGCAGTGACAGCAAGGACTGTGACTGTGTCTGGGGAACTGCTGCTACAGCCTGGCAATAGGGACCACCCTCCTTGACCTGCCCCAGGGAGCTTCCCGTGAACTGGCAAGCACTCACCCCTTAGAGCACCTGACTCAGAGTTTGTCACTGTGTGCGACCTGCATCCTTGGCCCTCTGGTCTTTGTTCTCACTTGGCCATCACTGTTGAACATTACTCTTGCGATAAGACACTGGCTCTAATCTTGGCCCTGCCTCTCAGGCACCTGTGACCAGTTTACCTCCCACCCCCACTGGACCTTTGACTCTTTGTCTGTAGATAAGGAGGGCCGAGAAGCTCTGTGACTACACAGTAACCCTGGCACCAGCTGGAGGATTTGAGCTTGAGCTGTGTGTCCCTTCTCAGTAGGAGGGAATCAACCCCGAGACATTGAAGCATTCGACACTGTGTGTCCCTCACCCCTGTAATATACACATGGAAATGCCCAGTGTGTCTTTAATTCAGAGGAGCCTCAGGACCCTCACCTGCTGCCCCAGGGCAGCATGCAGGTGCCTGTTGAATCCTACTGGCCGCCCCGTGGGTGGCCCCGTCTGTCCCAGTATGAGCGTAGCCAGCTCAGACCCTCCACTGTGTCTCCTGCAATGAAAGAAAGGTAATGCCATCTCGACTCATAAGGGAAAGGACAGCCCCTGTTCAACATCCATCCTCCAATGACCCCTTCCCTAAGCTACCAGGAGCCTCACCTTGAGGCCGATACTCGCAGCCCACAAATCCTTGGTAACCTTCATCTTCTAGCAGCTGGAACAGGTAAGAAAAGTCCAGCTCTCCTGAGCTTCCTGGCTCCCCTCGGTCTGGGACCTGTGCCACCTGCACATGCCCTGGGAACAGATGAGGAGGGACAAGGGATGAGAAAGGAAGCAATCATGAGAAACAGCATCGGGCCAGGAGGGAGCTTGGTAGGGGGAGTCCTCACCAACAATGGGCAGGAACTTCCTGATATTTCCTGTCAGATTCCCATCCATGATCTGCCAGTGGAATACGTCCTGGGAAAGAGAACATCAAACCCTCAGGTGTCTGCCACAGTTCTCCCCAGACTGGAAGACAGAACCTGGAGAAGCACCCATCTTCCACTCACCATTTGCAACTGAAGATTGGGTCTCCCAACCTTCTGCAAGATGGCTGCCGCTGTGGGGGAAAGCCAGGAAAAAAGTCATGAGGCTTTGGAACGTGTGAATTAAAGAGTGGGGGTGGCACAGGACTAGAGTCCTACCCTGCTGGGGTGTATCCAGGAAGTACTGGGGGTCTGTGATTCGGGTGTTAATGGGCTCCAGCAGTCCCACGAGGTTCTCCTAGAACCATGTTGGAGGCTGTCAAGGATCACTGATAACAACTTCATCTGTTCCTCTGGCCTGTGCTCTTGCTCTGCTTTGTATCTCACCCACTGTGCCCAGTCCCCACCGTGTACCCCTTACTCTCTAACACATCAGCTGTGTGTTTCTGCCTCTTACCTGAGCCAAAACCCCAGCCGCATGCCTCAGGTTCTCCAGAAACACTGTCTCCATCTCTGCCTGGACTGCTGCTCGGTCAGCCCCAGGGGGTACCCGGCCAGCCATCAGGTGGATCCTATAGAGAAGGTTGTGGGGAGTCCCTGTGTATCTTCTGGGTGCTCTCTGACTGTACCAGCCTCACCCCATCACCCAGGTCTTCAGACCATTTAAGGCATATGCCCAGACATCCCAGCAGCCTTCACACCTACGTGTCAGCCCAAGGCAAGTTGCCCATGTCCTCTTCCAGTCAGCCCATGGGGGGAGGGGGGGGGCTCTGCCTATCTCTAATTCCCTCCTGGACTTTTTGTTGTTGTTGTTGTTTTGTTTCTCAAGACAGGGTTTCTCTGTAGCTTTGGAGCCTATCCTGGAACTAGCTCTTGTAGACCAGGCTGGCCTCCAAAGATCCGCCTGCGTCTGCCTCCCGAGTGCGGGGATTAAAGGTGTGTGCCGCTCCCTCCTGGCCCCTCCTGGACTCTTAACCTCGCCTTTCCCTTCTTCCTTTGCAGCTCATAACATGCCTGAGGCTCACTTTCTATTTTTCCACATTTTTAAAATTTATTTGTGTACGAGCGTCTTGCATGTGTGTGTGTGTGTGTGTGTGTGTGTGTGTGTGTGTGTGTACCATGTTTGTGCCTGGTGCTCTTGGGGGTCAGAAGGTGTTGGCTGCCCCCGTCACTTGATTGTGAGCTGCCATGTGGGTACTGGCAACCCAGCCCAGGTCCTCTGCAAGAGAACATCTCTTCAGCCCCGAGGCTTACCTTTTAAGAGGATTTTAACCCTTGCCCCTTTCAGACAGTTGCTTAACCCTGCTTCCCATCTTAGCCTCCTCCCAAATGCTTTCTGTCCCTACTGTTGACTGATAATGAGCCTCTCGCCGCCATTTGCTTCCCAGCACCTCTTGACCTCTGGGGTTTGATATTAGTCCCATTTTGAGGCTTCTCATCTCAACAACATCCAAATTCCCACAGGCCCTGCGGGCGTTCAGGCCCTTGGAAGTTAGTGTTCACCACCTCCAGCCTCATTAACTGAACTGGGCACGACAACCGTCCTCTGGCAGGGACAGCCTCCTTGCCTGAAGAGTGGACCTCTCTCTATAAAGCCGATGTGTGGGCCTGCTAGTTTCATTTCCTGCATCACTATCTGCAGACAGCGCTGCCCCCCATCCTCACCCCCAGACCCCGGTTTTCTCAGCCTTGTTAAACTCCCTTATCAGACCCCAGCACCCAGCGTGGGATCCTGGTGTAAGACGAGCCTGAAAGCGTGTTATACAGATGACACATGAAATACAAAAAGCAGTCTGCAAAGGCCCTAGCCCACAGACGCCGGCACCAGGTCAAAGAAGGGCAGGGCAGGGTACCTGGGGCAGCCCAGAGCCTTGGCGTACAGCACAGCCTGCTCCAGCCCCTCTCGGAAGGCCGCCTGTCTCCCGGGGACGGCCCCCAGCCCCATCTCCCCCTTCTCTTGGTCTCCTGTGGAGAGAAGCAGCGTTAGTGCGGGCTTGGCTCCCCGCAGCCCAGCGGCTCCCCGCCCCAG